CCCTAGGACTAAGTTGTTCATAACTAGTCCTGTTTATTTCGATATAATGTTAGGTCTTGTTTAGGTTTTATGTCTGTCTTTGAATTTTGACTTTTAAAGTGATTTTATTCATTTTTAGTTTAGTCGAACTGATGATGGAGCTGGACTCCGAAACGTTTTCAAAATCGATATGGTGAATTTTCTTGGCGTTTTCTTTGCTTTTAAATTCCTTGTGAACTTGCGATATAAGCAGACTAATAATATAAGGATAATTCCAGGATTGAAGGGCAAGTCTTATGAAGAAAGATTAACGATTATGACGGTACCAAGTCTTTGAAATCGACACCCGTGTGGCTACCTCATTGAAGTATACAAATATAATCATGATTTACACAAAATAATATAAGGATTTTTAGAATTTGAAACAAGAACAAACGGGCGGGCACGGCATTAACCTAAAAAACTGCGGTGCAACTCATCAATGCGACAACACCTTGTTAAGTGTCACCGATATGTGGAATGACTCCCTTTCTCATCGCTGACGCTGAGAGCAGAGATGTATGCAGAGATCTATTTCTCGACTGGAAGTGTCTTAAACCTCACATATTGCGATATTGGTGTTTGTTCAGCAACTACTTTGTTTGAAAGTCAGTCTTGGATAGACCTGGTCAAAGGCCATGTCTCAGATCTCCAGGAGACAAGTCAAGAGCATAACAAGAATCTGCGACGGTACTACTATATAGTAGACTAAGTTACATTAAATGACATATTTTTATCGTTGCATATCGATCGCAGATGCAGATATTCAAGTTTCAATCATCGTACTACTTATAACCTCCAAAAACCTACACATTTGCGGGTACTAATGATCAACGATTTATATATGCATCGAAATTTGTAGCGGTCCAACACCAATGTAAACAATGGGCCTTCGTATCAGACTGCTTTTCTACCAGAATGTTGAATAGTTCATGGGATAAGCAGTTGTGCGTCACTCGGTGCCGACCAGTGACCTGACTCTGCAGCGGCTGAAGGATGCACTGTGTTGAAGTGGTGCGCGATATGAGCGGCAGTCTTGCTGATAAGGCGGGAGGTGTGACGCTCCTGCAGTCGCTTCCTCGCCACACGGCGTATCCTTCGTTTGATTCCGTCATAGAGGAATGATTCTAAATTTTCTTACAATAATCGGTACTCTTACGATGATAGTAGACTTATTTAATACTGTTATTGGCGGGCGTTATTGAAAACATTAATGCCTAGTCACATTTGACTGTGAACTTTGACATATTTTTTTAGTATCAAGGTTGCGCTGACAGCATACAATTTTGCATGCAATCATATATGACTTCAAAGAATTCTGTTGCACCTTGTCCAATATGCATGATGCTCGTTCCTTAAGTCATTTGTTGCTCCTTTCAGTTCGCTTTAAAGATAAAAATAGCACATAATCCTGAATTATTTTTCGTTGCATTACTAAATTTTGCACATCGTGCAATTTCTTCTTTATGTTTAGGACGAACACGCCGAATTTTTTATATTGTTTAATGAATATTATCAGTAATATGTTTCAACTTTACACTGCATGAGCAATTGTGTAGAGATTCATTTCATTTCCAATCTTTTGTTATCTTGTTATCTGTCCGTATATACGTTCTAACTAGAACTTGCGCATGCGCCTTCAATTTATAGCGCAGAACGCGCATGCACATTGAGCAGTTGAGAGTGTCTTAATATCTGTACAAGTGATAGCCACTTTTTTAGATCATAGAAGGATGCCTGTTAATGCATCTAATTCTGTATACAAATTGTTCAAGGCGATTCATATTTAGTTTTCCGCATTATTCTCATTTTTTTAAAGCAAAAATTATTTTAGATTTCATCGGCATCGTAAATTTATGTGATTTTGTTTTGCTGTGAAGACTATATTATAAGTGAAATTATTTTAAAGAAACAATGGTCGATTCAAGCATACTGCTTATGTATTAATCATGTGCCTGAATATGACTAAAAAAATGCATTTATGACACAACTTTTCTGCCACAACTGCGAGGGCATTATATTAATGATATTGGGATTTGTGTTAATGATACATGTGTCGTCGGTGCAGTAACATCACCGTCTTCAATTATAAACATATATTCAATTATAAAACATATGCAATTTAAATACAATCATAAAAATTAAGATTATGATAAGGATTTGAAGCCTTGAATTGTTTCTAGAAAACAAACGTAAATACGTTTTACTTGCAACCATTATCCCAATTGTAAATTATATGGCTTCATGGTAAACGTACAGGCTAGTGCTCCAATAAACACGCAGAACACAATTATTGTTTAACAATAAACGCTAAACACTGCGTAGGAGTGGGGAAGAGTCTGGCAGCAAGACTCGGTATATTTGGTCGCTAATGACCAGCGGTAGCAATCATTCTAATATCAAATTATCTATAGGGATTATTATTGTTATCTCTGACATGGCTTAAATTCCTGCAATATGACTAAAAATAGCTTCCCAACGACGAATCTTTTTTGGTTTAAATGCGGTCACCTGACGCTGGATTCGACATATCCACCAATAGCGCACTTTTCTCTAATTGAATTATTTTGCAGTAAAGTGCTTTCATAAAACAATTGAAACATTTAATTTATACTGCGTGTTGTAAAAATTATCTTTTGTGTTAGTTTTTTTGCGATCTTGTACACGAAGAAGCTCACTGAAATGTGTTGAGAATAATAAATAT